AGATAGACAAGACCCTAGCTCTTGATCCCTTTAGGCTACATGGACAGACAAGGAAGCATAATGTGACAAGCAAAGTAATCAGATATGAATAGGGACACAGAGGAGGGACAACAATTGAAAAAAAAAAAACACCTTCCCTTTTTATTAACAAGTGGAGCTTTCATTCTGTGTCACATGGAGAGCCAGGATGCCTTTATGATCCCTTGAAATATGCACTCCCCTCCACCATTTGCTGTCAACTTTATAGGGCAATAAATTAATTGTGGCAGAAGCTGGCTACCTCGGCCCAGTTACCTTTGCTCAGTGCTCCCTATGAATCACTGAGGGAGAAACACGAAGGAAACGAGGTGATGAGGTGAGTACGCTTTTTCATGCAAGCAGTGCTTCCAGCGGGGGCGAGGGGTCCCTTTCTGTTTATGCGATTTTCTGTCTGCTGCTCCGTTAAGTGATCTGGATGCCCATACTTTTCTTCTGGACCTAATACTTTCTTCCTTTTCCATACAAGATGAGGAGTGAAGATGAGAGAGTTAATGGAGAGGAGAGAACTGTGTGTGTGTGTGTGTGGTGTCAGGGTTTGGGGGACAGGTAGGGGGAGGTCTAGTGTGAGATGCTCCTCTCTCATTGGGAGAAATTAAAGACAGGAAACAGATGGGATCCTTCTGGAAATGATCTCAAGATGGCATGGATTTGGAGGAAGGTGAATGCTTCCCAGATTTGTGCAGGAAGGGTTTCTAAGTAGGGAAGAATTTCTACCTTCAGAAATTCCCATCCTGCCCTCTGACTGAATGACAATAGCTTCTATGCTGGGAAAATGCCTGGGGTTATTCCTAGAATGTTCTTGAACTTCCTGAGCTAAGGTGCTGAACCTGCTCCCTCAGGAGGATTGAGGACTGTGGGAGTAGGTGCTCGCTGCTGATTTTTAGAGGCTGGAAGGGAAAGTCTCCATGTGGAGGGAAGCAATACTTGGAGAAAGAGACTAATTGATGAATAATATGTTTGCTGTGGTATTGAGTTGCGGGCTGTATGTATAAGAAATGAAGTTTGAAACTATACCACACCAGGGTGGATCCTTCATACTTCTTTCACTACGGAAATTCCACCACTGGAGACAGGTCCTATAGGTCTTTAAACTCTGAAGCCTAGGATACATTGTGGAGGGAGTATTTTATTTTTAAATGTAGTGGCTGTTTGCGTTTGTCTCAGTTCCACCACTAAGCGTGACCAGACAAAATGCCTTAATATTCATTATAAAATGGAAATAATATCTATCTGATCAACTTCAATGCAGGGATTTTATGAGAATACAGTAATATGATATATATTTTATGTGGATTAGAGTATATCATTTAAATAATTTAGACTAAAAGACACCTGATTAATTTAGGTAACTAGTAAAGAATAGTTAAAAAAAAAAAAACCAAACAATTTTAATCCCAAACCCCAGTGTCTCCAAGGGCTAAGGTTCTTCCTAAATGCCTATTGGCAAATTACATGTAGGTCCTGGTTCCTTACCTCTATTTCAATATTAAAGTGCTTCTTTTATTGAATGATAACACATGAACCTAAAGGCTACTGTAATTAAAAATTGAAGCTATATACATATATAAAAATATTTATACAAGCAGTCGTGGCATTGGGGAGGAGTCGGGAAGAGCAGGGATGCAGGGAAATGTGAAGTAAGAGGAGATGCAAAATAAAAACAACAGAGAGAAGATTATTTGTCCACGTTGCCTTATATTTAATAGTTTGTTGCTGCATAAGTGCTGGTTTAGTATGGTGGGAATAAGGAGAGAGGAGAGGCTGAGCAGCTGGGCTTAGGAGGTGTCACAAAGACCTTTGATCACAAAACTAAAGGGGTTTTGGTTTATTCAGAGATCCATGAAAGGCTTGAATGTAGGAGATCCAAATGACCTTGTTTGTGCCGGTCACTTGGTAAATGACCCAAAGATATGGGGAAAGTAGTCCGATTGAACTGGTAACTGACTGTGAGAACTAACGGAAAGAGAGGAATTTTTAAAGGATTCCTAGGTGGTGGTGGTGGTTTTTAATGTGATTCTTTTCCTCAAGTTATTAATTATTTGAGGAACAGACAATTTGGCCAAATTGGCAGGAATTCGAACTGAGGTTTGGGGAGAGATGATTTCATGTTTATACATGTTACATTTGGTTGAATCTGTGGGACATCCAATAGGCAGTTGAGTATACAAATCTAAATATCTGGGCTAGAAATACAGGTTGTATTGCTATCACATGTTACATAAAGTCACAGGAGTGGTGGAGATTACTCAAGGGGTGTATGTTATTTAAAAAAGAAACATATGAGAATTTGGGAAATATCAACATTTAATCAAAAAGGAATGGGCATGGTGGCTCACACCTGTAATCCCAGCACTTTGGGAGGGCTAGGTGGGTGCATCACCCGAGGTTAGGAGTTCAACACCAGCCTGGTCAACATGGTGAAATCCTGTGTCTACAGAAATACAAAAATTAGTCGGGCATGATGGCGGGTGTCTGTAATTCCAGCTACTCAAGGGACTCAAGCGAGTCCCTTCATTGAGTAGCCTGTAATTCCAGCTACTCAGGCAAGTTGCAAGAATCGCTCAAACCTGGAAAGGGGAGATTGTAGTGAGCTGAGATGGTGCCATTGCACTCCAGCCTAGGGGACCGAGCAAGACTCCGTCTCAAAAAAAAAAAAAAAAAAAAGAAAAGAAAAGAAAAAGCCAGAAATGCAGGGGAAAACCAAGATTCCTATCAAGGAATCCATAGGTGGAAAGTTTGATAGAGGAGGAAGTGTTTGATAGCGCTAGAAGATTAAGACAGCACCCATTGTATTCAGCCACTTATGTCATTGGTAACGGTGGGAGCATTTCCAGTGGAAAGCGGAAAATACAGCCAAGCCAGTAATACCATGAGGAAGGGAATTATCATTTTGGAAGATTAGCTATGAAAGGAAAAATAAAGTTATTATGCTACCTGGAGAAGCCCACAGTCATTAACAGAGTTTGGGGTGATTTGGGATACTTTTATGAGGGAAAAATATTCAGAGAGTGAAGCTGATAATGCAAGAAAAGAAGAGATAATTGGTGGAATAAGATTTTTGAGAAATTCAACAGCTGTGAGATCTAGATAATAGATGCAAGGATTATACTTAAGCAAGAAGAGGAAAAACTGTTTCATTGAGAATAGAGGGGGAAAAATAAGAATTTACCCAGATGTGTATAACCTTTGTGGAAAAGCTTGTGTTGAGAAGCAGAGAGAGGGACTAGTTTCTGCAAAATAGTTACTTTCTATGTGATATTGGAGATGGTATTGCATTAGAATAAGAATGTAGGTAACAGAGGTCAGGCCTGAAAAGAAGGATACGAGGACCAATTTTTAAAAGTACTGCTGTGAGGCCAGGCACAGTGGCTCATGCCTGTAACCCCAGCACTGTGGGAGGCTGAGGCAGGTGGATCACTTGAGGTCAGGAGTCCGAGCCCACCATGGTCAACATGGTGAAACCCTATCTCTAATAAAAATACAAAAATATTAGCCAGAGATAGTGGCATGCAACTGTAATCCCAGCTACAAAGGAAGCTGAGGCAGGAGAATCCCTTGAACCTGGGAGGTGGCCAAGATCTCACCACTGCACTCCAGGGTGAGACTCCATCTCAAAAAAAGAAATAGAATAAAAATAAAAATAAAAATACTGCTATGAAAAGTGAGAGACACTATCAAGACCATCAGTCGGCTTGCAGGCCCAGTTTATTTAGGAGATTATGAGCCTCAGTGGTATCTCCCTTGAGCTAGGTATGTCAGCACAGAAGGTGGATGTTTGGATGGATAGTTTCATCCTGCAGATTCTGTTAGCAGATAGGGAGCAAGGAAGATGAGAGCAATGACACGTTAAACATTCAATACTGGGGCTAGGTCAAACGGTTAACAGCTGGGAAGGGCTAAGAGATTTAAAGGAAATGGAAAGAAAGCAGCAGCCTTGATATGACAAATTACTTTTTAAAAATAAAGTAAGGCAATGAGATAGTAAAAGGACATATCCTCATTTACATATGGATTTATAATTTCAAAAGTGGAACAGTTCTGAGGATAAATTCCAGGAGCTAGCTAACATATGGGATGACGGAGATGGAATGGTGATGAAGTCATTGCAGCTGAGGGCTGTCGTGGATCTGTGAGACATACAATAATGTTAGATTTACTATAATTAGATCAGAAAAATGGGAACACATCAAGTGTCTGATCAAATTTTTGTAGATGTAGAAATACAGATCCAAATAAGTAAATAGCCCATCTATTAGTAAGAAAATCAGGTTAAGCATTCAAGCTCTTTGATTCCCAGTTCAGTACATCCTCCAATATAGAAAATATTTTAAATCTTGGATCGATGAATGATCTTTAGAATACTGGGAGCCACCAAGTTTATGTGAGTTGTGTGCTATGACCATATCAGCAAACTTTATGTTGGGCATCAGGATCATTTTTGCTACCAGATTCTTGAGAGTGTCAGTGACTTTTAAACAGTCTAAACAGTGACCTCAGCATCATGCCCAGAGTAGTTGAAAGAAGAAGACTTGGATTTAAGTTTTCCTACTTTCTCTCTCCCTAAGCATACCTTCCTGTCTACTACATTAGGTGGATGTGAAGATCCAAGCGACATCTAAAGGGTTTTGTAACCTACCTGATCCCCTCATCTCTCTTCTGTGTGTCATTCCACAACCTTTTCCCCTTCAGATCTTCATGTCTGATATACTTTTCCTTGGACAATCCTCAATTCCTCTGCATGCAAAAAAGGCAAGAGCTCTACAGGTGTTGGATGTAAAGCTAGAGTGACTTAGGGACACTGTGATAAGTGGAAAGAAATATTCGTTAGATTATATAAAAGGGATGCTGATAATCAAGGTCATCATGCAAACAAATCCACATTTGGCTATAATGATTACGTATCCTCTTAGACTGGTGGGGCCTTGCGATTTGTTTTAATCCAATTATCTGTGTCTATCTAGATGGCGAGGAAGCTCAGTGTATTGGAAGTCCTTCTGATCGTCTTCTGCCTAATTGTGGTGGCCGTAGATATCCTCTTGTTGCTTCTTGTATTGGAGGAACCTTCAGGTAAAGGAGATGCTGATGGCTTCTGGGTTAGAAGGTTGGGTAAAGGAAGTCCCCTCTGGATGCCAAAGAGATTATTTTATTTTGCTTTTTCAGTATGCCACTACATTGCAGTATTCAAAATTCATGTCCCCAGTTAGTTTAAGTGAATCTCCAAAAGATAAGTGCTCTTTGCACTGAAACCCTGGATGTTAGTGATATTTAGGGTCTCCCAAGCCCCGTTTGGTGCAGTTTTAAAATTAGGCTTACCAGATGCCTGCCCTTGAACCCAGAGTCATGAAGTCAGATGGCCTTCAATGAGAAATGACTGTTAAGGTAACAGTGGAAAAGGAAGCTAAGGGAGATGGAGGGCTGACTGGCCTAATTATACCAAAAACATGGCTGACAGAGCTATGGTTTCTTCATAGTGCCTTTGAAACTGTTCTCTCTCTCTCTCTCTCTCTCTTTCTTTCTCTCTCTTTCTCTTTCTCTCTCTCAGACATGCAGAAGCATCAAACAGAATGCCTTCTCTTTCATGCACATATTATTCTCTAAATAATAAAATGTATGTAATTCAAAAATGTATTTTCATTTAAAGCTGAATTTGGGGTTTGTTCTGCTTGACAAGCTCACTTTATAGATGTGAATTAAGCCTTTAGTGAAAAGAAGCTGTCCTAATAGTAGAACCCTACCTGCTCCATCTCTTTCGCTTCTCTCCACAGCAAACGTTAAGACACTTTCTAGGAACTATTATAACTTTGAAAGATGATCTGAAAACCACTGATGTAAGCCATTTTGAGCCTATTCCTACTTCTTCCCTCGAAAACATTTTTTTTGGATAAGATATCTCATGAGATTCGGATCCAGTGTATATAAATAATTGGTTTCTTTAATTTGACATAAAGCTAGATCTTCACACCTGGATTCACCCTAAACCACATTCTGATTCATGCAGAGTAGTTCTACTTTTAACTGTCTTATATACTGAACTTATCTCTGTTTTTTTTTTTTTGTAAGATATGTTTCCAGGGGTTGAAAAGGGGGCTTTAATATCAATTTGTTTTCATTGTGGTGAGAACAGGTAATATGACATCTACCCTCTTACTGATTTTTAAGTGTACAGTACAGTATTGTTATCTATTGAAACAATGTTGTACATCAGATTTCTGAAGTTTATTCACCTTGCATAACTGAAATATTGTATATATGGATTAGCAACTCTGCATTCCCAGTTCCGCTAACTCTTAACCACTCTTCTCTTCTTTGCTTCTGTGAGTTTGACTATTTTACACAATTTATATAAATGGAATCCCAGAGGATTTATCTTTTTGTGACTGGCTTAATTCACTTTGCATAATGTCCTCAAGGTTCATCCATATGGTTGTCTATTTCAGGAATCCAGTTTTAAGACAAATTTTTATTGACATATATACATATATACACAAACAAATGTAGAGTCATAAAGATAGGGAAGATATTTGGCGGCTTTGTTTTGAATCAAAACAAAAGCATTAAAGGGTACCTGTTAATGCCCACAGTAACTATTTCCTCTAAATGAAGATGAAATTCTGGATTTCAGATGGCTCATGGGGTCCATGAACCCATCCTGCTTCAGCTGTTGTTATGAGGGGCGATGCCACAAAGTTGCTAAAGGCAAAAGTAATAATAGCCAATGTTGAGTGAAGGTGTATATTTCCAGTGGGACCAATAATATCTTCCAGTTATGTAGCCAGAGCCATGTGGTGTCTTTAAGCAGCTGTGCCTCTAAATAAAAGACTAAAGAAAAACAGTAAGAAAAAGAACTTTCCAAGCTATTTTAACAGGGCTTCCCTGGTAACAAAATAAATAATGTTGGATCCCTACCTGACAACGTATATAAACATTAACTAAGAATTGATTAAAGACCTAAATGTAAGAGCCGAAACTCTCATACTCTGAATACTCAAAGCACAACAGCAAAAAAATAAAAAATAAAAAAATAAAAAAATAAAGAAATGGCAAATTGGACTTCATAAAATTGAAAACAACTTTGTGCTTTGAAGAAAACTATCAAGAATGTGAAAAACAATCCACAGATTCAGGGAACATAGTTGCAGACGAAGTATCTGATGTTAGACCCTTATCAGATACATCATTTGCAAATATATTTCTTTATATATCCTAAGATAATACATTAGGATATAAGAGAACATATTCTCTTAGGACGTACAAAGAAATATAACAAATCCAAATTTTTTTTTTAAAAGATTTTTAAATAAGTAAAACATTTAAATAGACATTTCTCCCAAGGAAATCTATAAATGGCCACTAAACTCTTAAAAGTATATTCAACATCATCGGTTATTTGGAAAGTGCAAGTCAAAATGATATCGCTTCACACCCACTAGGATGACTATAATTAAAAACAGATAAAAACAAGTGTTGTTGAGGTCACAGAGAAATTAGAATTCTTATACATGGCTAATGGGAATGTAAAATGGTGCAGTCACTTTGGAAAATTTTGTCAGTTCCTCACAAAACTAAAGATAGAGTTAACCACATGCCCTAACAATTCCACTTCTAGGTATATAACCAAGATAACTGAAAACATAGGTCACAGAAAAACTTGTCTGTGAATGCTCATAGCGGAATTACCTATAACAGTAAAAAAGCAGAAACAACCTGAATGTACGTCCACCGATGAACAGATAAACAAAATGTGTATATCCACACAAAGGAATGTGATTCAGCCATTAAAAGCAAGAAGTATTAATACATACTACAATGGATAAACCTGGAAAATGTTACGCCAACTTGGCATAAGTAAAAGAAGCCAGGCACAAAGGGCCACATATTTTATGATTCTTTTTATAGACAATGTTCAGAATGGGGAAATCCATAGTGATAGAAAATAGATTCATGTTTACGAGGGACTGAGAGAACAGGGAAATAGTAAATAACTGCTAATGGGTATGTTATTTCTTTTTGGGGTGATGGAATTGTTCTGGAATTAGATAGTGGTCATAGGTTATGTAACTTCACAACTAAAAACCATTGACATGTACACTTGAAGAGGGTGAATTTTATGCTATATAAACTGTGTCTGTTTAAAAAGCAGACAAACTAGAAATAACTGTGTTTAATTAACCTTGGAGAAGTGTTAAACATTGTATGCAAATGTAGTTACCAGCTACTGCTGATCTGTTGTGTGGAGAATTGGCTGAAAGTCTGTAACTTTGCTAGCTTCCTTCCTGGAACTGTGATGATTACACTACACATTTTCAATGTTATCCTTTGATTCCTATGCAGATACTTCATTTACTCCAGAGTGTCCAGAGATTGACCAATCGGACAGGATAGACTGCACACCTGGCCAGGCGGTGACAGAGGTCAGAGAAACAAGGTCCTTTTGGTGGCCTACTGGATGTTATTGAAAAGCAATGAATATGTGAAGTGGGGGAAAGGGTGGGGTGGCATGGCTTCTGGGCCTCTGATTTGTTTGGAATTATCTGTTTCTTACCTTACTGAAATAACAATATTAAGAATGTGAGGGAAGCAGGGTTGAGAAAAAGGAAGAGTAGGAAAAGCTCACAAGAATGTTAATCTGTGGACTGTAAAGTCTAAAGTCGAGGGTGATTACAGGTGTTAGAAATGTACCTTAGGTGTGATTTCAAGGATTGTGGTAGAAAGGTTAAATGTTTGTGGGCTAGACTGTGTGTTCTTTGAGAATAGAAGTCATTAAGCACATGCAAATAGGCAAATCAGTAGTGGTAGAAAATAGATTCACATTTACCTGAGTCACTGGCTGAGTCACTTGCAGAACTCAGGCAACTTGTTACAACAAGAACCTTCTGGAATTATGTTATTGGCAATAGAGGTCCCAATAAATATGTGGTGAAGAACACACGTTTTCTCCCTGAGCAGCTTCTGTAGAATATCGGCTACCTGAACCTTGCTTCGTTGTGACTTACGACTTTATCATAAAAATTGTATATATTTATATATTTAAACTTTATTTCTTTACCCTATATTCTACATTCTATATCTTCTTATTTTTTATTTTTTATTTATTTATTTATTTTTATTGCATTTTAGGTTTTGGGGAGATATTAATTAGGTTAATTGAATTTTAGGTTAAATTTTAAACAATATTGACATTTTGATAATTTTGAATCTTCTCATTATAAAAACATAGAAATTATCTATTTCAGCTTTTTTCATATATATATACATATATATATATATATATATTTTTTTTTCCTCTCTTTCTTTCTTTTCTTTTTCTTTCTTATTTCTTTTTTTGAGACAGAATTTTGCTCTTGTTGCCCAGGCTGGAGTGCAATGGTGCAATCTCAGCTCACTGTAACCTGCGCCTTCTGGGTTCAAGCAATTCTCCTGCCTTGGCCTCCCGGGTTGCTGGGATTACAGGCATATGCCACCACGCCCAGCTCATTTTGTATCTTTAGTAGAGACGGGGTTTCTCCACATTGGTAAGGCTGGTCTTGAATTCCCAACCTCAGGTGATCTGCCCATCTTGGCCTCCCAAAGGGCTGGAATTATTATTATTATTATTATTTGAGACAGAGTTTCACTGTGTTGCCCAGGCTGGAGTGCAATGGCAAAATCTCAGTTCACTGCAACCTCTGCCTCCTGGGTTCAAGAGATTCTTGTGCCTCAGCCTCCCGAGTAGCTGGGATTACAGGTGCACACCACCATGCCCTGCTAATTTTTGTATATTTAGTAGAGACAGGGCTTCACTGTGTTGGCCAGGCTGGTCTCGAACTCCTGATCCCAAGTGAGGCCTCAGCCTCCCAAAGTGCTGGGATTACAGGTATAATCGTGCTGCTCTAAACAGCAGGATTCAAAAAAAATTTGCATCAAATTTACGTGTCTTTGGGTGAACACTCGGAAGAATTTTTATTGGCTCTCTACCTAAGGATGGAACTTCTGGTCCATAGGATATGTACATGTTTAACTTTGGCCGACACTACAAAATCGTTTTTCAAAGTATTCGTATCAATTTGCATTTCTTTTAGTGGTATGTAAGCGTTCATTTGCTCTACATCTTAACGCTTGGTGTTCACTCCTTTTTCAATTTAACCATTCTATGGTTTTAATTTTTGTGTCTCTCATGACTAATGAGGTTAAACATCTTTAGAAATGCTTATTGGCTAGTTGGATAATCATATTTATAAAATGTCTTTTTAATTTTTTGCCTTTTTTTCTACTGAACTGTTGCATCTTTTTTATTGCTTTGTGGTAGTTATTTATGTATTCTGGGTACAAATAATTTGTTTGATATATATCTTAGTCTATGGTTTGTCCATTAACTCTCTTAATGGTGACTGTTGATGACAAATAGTTCATAATTTTAAAACAGTTCACTTTATCACTTTTTCAATGGTTAGTTCATTTCATATTCTGTTTAGGATTCTTGCCTACTCCAAGATCGTAAAAATATATTACTATTTTTCCCTTAAAAGCATTATTGTTCTATCTTTCAAATTTAGACCTTTAACAAGTATAGTACTGATTTTTATATATGGTAACAAGTAGGAGTCCAGAAACATTTTTTCTTTCTTTTTTGAGACGGAGTCTTGCTCTGTCACCCAGGCTGGAGTGCAGTTGCGTGATGTCACCTCACTGCAACCTCTGCCTCCCAGGTTCAAGCAATTCTCTTGCCTCAGCCTCTTGAGTAGCTGGTATTACAGGTGTGTGCCACCATGCCTGGCTAACTTTTTATATTTTTAGTAGAGGTGGGGTTTCACTATGTTGGTCAGGCTGGTCTTGAACTCTGACCTCTTGATCTGGCCGCCTCCACCTCCCAGAGTGCTGGGATTACAGGTGTAAGCCACCACACCCAGCCCAGAAACATTTACTTTTCTTGAATTTTTAATAGATCTATCACCACTTATTGAGTTGACCATCTTTTTCTCTCTGCATTTTAGTGACACCTCTACTGCAAATCATGTCTTTATAGGTATGGATCTGCTTCTGGAATCTATTTGTTCAATTATTAGTTTGTTCTTTTGCCAATACCATATTGCCTTAATTACTATTGCTTTATGATAGGTCTTAATGTGTGGTTGTAGAAGTCCTCCAAATCATTCTTGCTTTTCTACAAGATTGCCTAACTTACTCTTTGCCCTTTAGGTCTCTGAATACATTTTAATTTTCATGTCTGTCATAACAGCCTGACAGTTTTGTCACAAAACCTGCTAGAAATTTTATTGTGATTGCATAAAATCTACAGGTTAAATTTGGGAAAATTACCATCTTTATAAGGGTGAATACTTCAATCCCTAAACATAATCTATCCTTCTATGTACTGAGATTTTAGTAAATTTTTGATATAGAGCTGTTGCATATGTCTTTGCTACATTTTATTCTATTTGATTCTCTTCAAGTTTTATTCTTAAATTTTAATTTTCTGTTTCTCTGTTGTTGATATGTAGATTTAAAATTGATTTTTGAATACTGATACTGTAACCAGAAATCTTAAATTTACTTATATTAATTATCCTAGTTTGTAGATGCTTGTTGTTTTCTGATATGATAATGTTATTTGCAATTAATAACAATTGGAAGTTTTTTCCAATGTGCATTCCATTTTCTTCCATGTCTTTTAATTCATAGGTTACAAGATTCTCTTTTCTTTCAAAATTGTCAATATAGTTTGAGACAGTTTATCTCAAAGTCTATATGCAGCTATAGTAGGTTTTAGAAAATAAAACTTTTTGGAGACTGATTTGAACTAATCCTAATAAATAACATTGCAATAAAATACTAATTATAGAAGTGGAATTTCCTGGTTTTGGAAGAAGTTGGTTACATATAATTTACGGATTTTTTTTTTTTTTTTTTTTTTTTTTGAGACAGAGTTTCACTCTTGTTGCCCAGGCTGGAGTGCAATGGCTCGATATCGGCTCACTGCAGCCTTCACCGGGTTCAAGTGATTCTTCTGCCTCAGCCTCTCAATTAGCTGGGATTATAGGCTTGCACCACCATGCCAGGCTAATTTTTTGTATTTTTAGTAGAGATGGGATTTCTCCATGTTGGTCTGTCCGGTCTTGAACTCCCGACCTCAGATGATCCTTCTGCTTGGCCTCCCAAAGTGCTGAGATTACAGGCATGAGCCACTGCGCTGGCCTCATTTACAGATTTTAAGCATCTATCAGAGACTGTATTGAAGAAATCCCTGCATCAAATGGAAGTTGTACTAAACAATCTCCAAGTTAATTTTTAATTTTTAAATTATATTAATAATTTCTGATTAAAAATGACATAAAATCTATTTGGCAGATAACTGGAGAATGCTCAAGTTTGGTGTGATGGAAAGAATAGAGAGCGGGAGACTTGCTGTGAGTCAACTGCTATATCCCAGGCATGAGTTCATGAGAGTCTGTGTTACCGTAACTCATGCCTGGACTATAGTAGTGTCTCATAGATCTCCCTTCTCCATTCTAAATCCACAAGGAAGAGATGTGGGGACTGAAATGTTGGATAGTAATTGCCTCTGGGGTTTGACCTTCGGTATCTGGGATATTGGTAATGGTTGAAAACTGAAGTAGGAATGTTAGGGAAGACTGCTTACCTAAATGTTTATTGCTTTTTATAGAGGTCTCTGAACTTTGAAACAATTTATGACAATGAAACTGATCTTTTGAATTATGCTGACCCCAGTTTCAGAGGGAGCAGAGGTACTTAATGTCTGACTTAGGAAAAGAAGTTATCCGCAGGCCATCCAGACCTTCAAATTCTTTCTTCACTGATCCCTTCCAGCCTTTTTTGTTACCGGAAGAGAATGAGACAGGAATGTTAATTAGATCTATGGAGAATTAAAAAGTACTTTTAAAAAGATTGTATGGTTATAATGTGATTGTTTATTTTATTTTATTTTGAGATGGAGTCTCACACTATTGCTCAGGCTGGAGTGCAATGGCGTGATCATGGCTCACTGCAACTTCCACCTCCGAGGTTCACACAATTCTCTTGCCTCAGCCTCCACAGTAGCTGGGATTACAGGAGCACACTGCCACATCTGGCTCATTTTTTGTAGTTTTAGTAGAAACGGTATTTCAGTATGTTAGCCAGACTGGTCTGGAACTCCTGACCTAGTGATCTGCCTGCCTCACTCTCTCCCAAAGTGCTGGGATTACAGCCATGAGCCACTATGCCTGGCCTGTTTTGTTTATCATAGGTATGCAGAACTGACGTAGTTACAATCACTTCGTGGCTTTTCAGGAAAATGACATCAGATGTTAGCATCTAAAATACTTGTCAGTACTATGTCTTTTTCAAATGAGTAATGTTGTGATATATTCTTGTTTTTGGTGTCAAAATCTACACTGAACACAGTTCTTTAGCAGGAAAGATTGAGATATTATAG